CACACTGAGTACTGAAGTGACTAAATATTTGGCAGGGAAAGGGAGTAAGTAGTGGTGGAATAAACATTTGTTTTTTGCTTCTCCATTCCCCACTTCTGCTCCAAATGTTTCCCTCAAGGCAAATAAATCCTACTAAGAGACTGTCACACTGGATAATCAGGTAAAAGGATATGAGGTCTGGGATTGGTGCAGTAACCATGCCACCAAGAGGGAAGGTCTGGGTTGGAGGTTTGGATGAGATCGGGCACATTCAGGGTGGTATGGCCATAGACTGGAATTGGAAGTTTGAGAATGAGAGAGGAATCTTAGTGACACTTGTTCAACTTTTCTCCAAGAATTCTGAAGCAAGTGATCAAAGAGGCCAGAACAGAAAAAAAGATGGAGGTAGAGAGAGTCAATAAAAAGACACAGGTTGTTGGAAAATTATGACACTAAGGGACCACTAGGGAGTGAAAAGATTTGCTTTGATATCTTGGTTACCAAGAAAAAAACTGCATCACAGCCGGGCTTGGTGGCTCAGCCTGTAATCCCGCACCTTTGGGAGGCTGAGGTGAGTGGATTGTCTGAGCCCGCGCGTTCGAGACCCGCCTGGGCAACTTGGCGAGACCTCATCTTTACAATAAATAAAAATGAGCCAGGTGTGGTAGCGGGCGCCTGTAGTTGCAGCTACTTGGAAGGCTGAGGTGGAAGGATCGCCGGAGCCCAGCAGGTCGAGGCTGCGGTGGCCGGGAGAGGCCACTGCACTCCAGTCTGGGTGACAGAGTGAGACGCCAACTCAAAAAAAACACAAAAAACTGCATCATAAATCTGAAATCACATATTGATTGTTGATCATGTTTCTGATAGCCACAAATCCATCCCTCTCCCCTCACACCTCGTTTCCTTAAAAGTTGAAGATGAAGGGCATATGCTCATTTTTCATTACGTCTACAATGAATAAGCAGCATGTTTTGACTTCTCTCCACTGATTATTTAGAAGTATTGTAAGTCTCAAAAATTCATCTTGCTGAGCCCGCGGGTTTGAGACCCGCCTGGGCAGCAAGACCTCATCTCTACAATAAATCAAAAAATCAGCCAGGCGTGGTAGCGCATACCTGTAATTCCGGCTACTCGGAAGGCTGAGCCAGGATTGCTGGAGCCCAGTAGGCGAGGCTGCAGTGGCCGGGAGTGGCCACTGCACTCCAGTCTGGGCAACTGAGCGAGACTCCAACTCAAAAAATAAAAATAAAAAAAATTCATCTTGGCGTACAACTTGACAACAGAGCTCAGGGATACTGTCTCTTGGTCCAAGATACAGACAGTCAAGATGCACAAAATATATATTCCCACAAGTACCTATATACGCTTTGTTCAAAATGAATTTTTAAACGTTTTTTTTTTAACTTTTAAGCAAATAATGTGGTAAAAAGCTCAAAAATACAAAGGTGCATATATTTTAAAGTAAAAGGTATCCCATGTCCTGTCCCATAATCACACACACTAATCCCAAAGATATAATCGTTGTTAATGTCCTTCTAGACTTTTAAAATATGTTAGTTCCTTTGTGAAAATAGAACCATGTCATGTCGACTTGATTTTTTGACTTCTGGACACATTTCCTCTTTAATAATTCAGATTTAGCTCACTTTTTTTTTTTTGAGTCAAGAATCTCACTGTCGCCCAAGCTGGAGTGTAGTGGCACACTCATGGCCACCACAGCCTCAACCCGCTGGGTTCAGGTGATCCTTTCGCCTCAGCCTTCCAAATAGCTGAAACTATAGGCATGTGCCACCACACCTGGCTAATTTTTTGATTTTTTGTAGAGACAAGATCTCACCAAGTTGCCAGGCTGGTCTTGAACCCCTGAACTCAGGCAATCCTCTTGCCTTGGCCTCCCAAAGTGTTGGGATTACAGGCTTGAGCCACTGCCCTGGCCATAGCTTACTTTTTAACAACTACAAATTAATCCACCTAAATGTACCATAATTTGTCTGACAACTGCAAACATTTGGATTTCCAATGATGGACATATAGATGTTTTTTGGGTTTTTTTTGTTTTTCTGGTTTTTTTGAGTTGGAGTCTCATTCTGTCACCCAGACTGGAGTGCAGTGGCCGTTCCAGGCCACTGCAGCCTTGACCTGCTGGGCTCCGGCGATCCTTCTGCCTCAGCCTTCCAAGTAGCTGGAACTACAGGCACACACTACCATGCCCGGCTCATTTTGATTTATTGTAGAGATGAGCTCTCGCCAAGTTGCCCAGGCGAGTCTCGAACCCGTGGGCTCAGGCAATCCACTCATCTCAGCCTCCCAAAGGTGCGGGATTACAGGCTGAGCCACCGAGCCCGGCTGACATATAGATGTTTTATTTTTCACAATACAATATTCCTACAGTAAACACTCTTATATACATATAGACAGATATAGGCATATGTACTTTTATACAATAAATTTTTAGATAAGGAATTCTAGACCAAAGGGAATGTTTGCTTTAAATTTTGACAAAGCAAGACACTAAACAGTGAATACCATGGCTCCATTGATAGCAAAACAACAAAAAACCCAAAACCCCCAAAAATGTCAAATCAGGTACAGGAAGAGGTATAGAACAGTGGTTCTCAACTAGACACAATTTTGCCCGTGAGGAGGCATTTTTAGTTGTCAAAACTGGGGAGGTGCTACTACATCTGGTGGGTAGAAACCAGGGTTGATGCTTAAACAATTTACAATGTATAGGAGAGCAGCCCTCTCCCTCAGACGCAAGGAAGAATTACCCAGACTTAAATAACAATGGTGCTCAGGTTGAGAAACCCTGGTCTACGATTACATAGGACACTGCCCACAGTAGCTTTCTTGGAAGAGTGGAGGAGAACTAAAATTTACACTTTCGTATTATCTGTGGGTTTTTTTCTTTTCTCTTTTGCAATGAACATACACTAGCTTAAAAAACACTTCCATACACAATGATGTCTGAGATGAAATCAATCCCAAGGGGTCTCATACTGCTTCCATACCTTGGGGATAAATTCTCAAAGCTCCCTGAATCTTCTCTTCAGCAGGTTAATCTTAGAGAGCTCTTCCAAAAACTCTTCAGAGGAGATAGTTTTAAGTCAGTTCATCAACCTGATTGCTACCTTTGAAAAACAAGGTGCTAGCACCAAACTCTAGTTTTGGACCCTAACCAGTGAAGAGTGGAATTGAATAATCTCCCTCATTCTACATGCACTGGCTCACATTTAGTTTATTAAAACACTCAGTTGCTTTTAAGTTGTGTTTTTTGTTTCGTTTTGTTTTTTTGAGTTGGAGTCTCACTCTGACCCCCAGATTGGAGTGCATTGTCCACTATCATGGCTCACCTCTGCCTAGAACTCCTCAGCTCAAGCGATTCTCCCACCTCAGGCTCTGAGTAGCTGGGACTACAGGTGCTTTTGATATTGTACAGAGACAAGGGCTAGCAATGCTTCCTAGCTGCTGTCGAACTCTTGGGCTAAAACAATCCTCCTGTCTCAGCCTCCCAAAGTTCTGGGATTACAGGAGTGAGGCACCAAGCCTGGCCTTAAGTATTTTTCTTGTAAACACTATATTGTTCGTGTTTTGGGAAGTGGGCACTCCCGGGAAGGAAGCAAGGAGGGAACACACGGCAGTAATAGAACTTTCAAGTCCTAACATAAGAAGGTGACATATGTGATTATCCTTACTCCCCTCAGGAGTATACCAAAGTAGACCCTAGAACACAATTAGGCTACAATTTTGAATTACACTTTAGTCCAAAGGAGACATTCTCACCACCTACCTTGCTGCCTTGGATGCCAGAGTTACTTAAATCCTGTCACTAATGCACTTTTAAAAAATTACCTAACAGGGTATTTTGGACTCTTGTTAAATAATTTCACTCAATTCAACACATATTTAGTGAGTGCTTAAGGCACTGTAGTCATCAATTAGATCAATAAAATCAAGATGTGAACTGCTCAGAAGATTTTAAGGCCTGCAACTTTTTGGTGGGTTTACCTTACTGAAGGAGCCCTTTACCTGACTACCTATTAAACACTCGCTGATTTCAACCTGTAGAATTACATATAATACTGTTATTTTGCAAGGAAAGCCTAGGTATTACTTATTCTTATACCCTGCTTTGGGGCCAATCTTAGTGCTCAGTAAATGTATAATGAAGAAGTGCACCTTACAGTCACTACTACATACAATATACCTGTAGGGAAACACCTGTAATAGGGCTTTTACTCCCTTCATCACTGAAAATACATGGCAATAACTCTTAATTGTACCCCAAACAAAAGTGAATTCACCAAGGCATAAGGCACACACGGTAGGATTAGATAACTCTTTACCCTCAGGTAATAAATTATACAAACAAGAAAAAAAGATACGATGCACACCGAAGAAGAAGAAATGGTGAAGATGAACTTAAATCCCAAAACATCTAAAATTTTAGTTTCCCCACGAGCACCCGCACAGTCCCACGTTTTTCCACCTCGCCCGGGAGAGAGCTCCCACCAAAGAGAAGGTTGGGGGTTCCCACGTGCGGAATCCTCGGCAGAAACCCCGCAAAGTCATCGGTGCTCTGCTGCCTCGCCACGCCCCCGCAAAGGCCCACAGGCTCCCGGCCGCCCACCCGCCGGGAAACGCCCGAAGGCCTCGGCACCGACGCAGCGAAGGCGGTGCGCCTTGAAGACAGGAAGGGAAGGGAGAGAAAGGTAGGCGGGGAACCGAGCCCATCCCGACTCGCAAGCCCGTTCCAACAGAAGACCGGCGACCAGCAACCGCCGACTCAGAACGCCGCCCACAAGAGTCCCAGTACTGGGCCCCTACGGCCAAGCCGGCCGACCCCCGCCCCTTCCTCAAGCCGTTAGCGCCGCGGCCCCACCCCTCGCCGCCAACCGTGCCTCGCCCCGTTTTCCCCTAGCCGCTACACGAGCCGGCCGCGGCCGGAGGCATCTGCTCGTTGGAAGTGGGCCCGGAGCTGCCAGCTGCGTCGGGAAGGCCGAGGAGCCGGGCTTCCTTACCTGTACTTTCCTCCGCCCTGCCGTGTTCTGCCGGTGATGGGCCGCCATCTTGCATGTTGACACTCCGACGTCACTTCCGGAAGTGGCTTAGACCTGCCGGATGTCCCGCCTTTTCCCTTTTGGCCAGGGCTGGTGGTGGCGCTGGAGGTAGACGGGTTATTTGGTTTCTAGACGCTGCTGTTGTGGTCTGCGGCCATGTGGTGAAGTAGATGCACGTAAAAACGAAACCACTGTGCAAGTGTAATGCTGATGGAGGGAGAGTCTCTTTTCAGAGCTGAGGGAGCGGTCCAAATCCGGCTCTGCGTGACCCGAAACCCTGGCTTGCGCTCTTTTCAGGTGTCTCCTCTAGAGGCCCACGCAAAAGGAAAGCGTTGAAAGAATTCATAATGCCAGACTTGGGCGGCTGGACGCCCGCTCCCAAACCAGGCAGAGGAACTGACTGATTTACCCAGAAGTACTTAAAAATGCAGAGAATTACAAATTGGCCTTGAAGGAGGAGAAACAAGCCCTTGCGAGGGTGATGACCTCCAACTTCAGGAGGAAAGAGTCTATTAAATAAGCTAAAATAGTATAGGAAGACAAAAAAGGGAACTTCAGTTAAAGTTCTCAGAGACAACTTTTTAGTTCCAAACTTTGAACTGAAATTCAGTTCTGGTTTAAATAATCTCTTTTTCTGGACAGTTAGGCCCTTCTGGAAAGTTTGCCTTCAGATAGCTTTCCTGACACTAATTACAGCAAGTCCCCTACATACAAACCTTCAAGTTACAAACTTGTACAGGAGCCAAGGATGACCAGACTCTTGTGAAAATAAATGTCACGCTAGCTATGTGTGGCTACTGAGCACTTGAAATATAGCCAGCTCAAATTGAACTATGTAATTATAAAATACTCACCAAATTTCAGACTTACTTTAAAGAAAATAATGTAAAATAACTAGTAATTTTGTATTGATTACATGTTGAAATGATAATGCTTGTGATATATTAGGTTAAAAATCATTAAATTTAACTTCTTTATAATTAATTTCTTTATAATATAGTAATTAGAATATTTGAAATTACACGTGTGGCTCTCATTTTCTATTTCATAGTGCTAGCATATGAGTAATGCTTAGGAAAGTTATTCCTTGACAAATGCCTTGTTTTTAAATTAATAAATGTGAATTAGAGGAGTGAAAATTGTTATGGCAGAAAGCTTTTTAAGCAGAACTTACATTGATAACTTACAGGTTAATTATCTCTGTTGCATTTTATTACAGACTCATTAATTCATTAATTCATGTATTCATTCATTCAACAAAGTATTGCTCAGTATCTGGTAGGTTCCAGGCAGTATAACAGGTACTGGGGAATCAGTAGTGACTACACAAAGTTATAGAACTTAGACTCCCAGGAGGAGACAGGAATTAATTAAACAGATAAATAAATATGGAAATAAGTACTCTGAAGAAAGATGATCATAAGACAGGGAGTGATCCCTGAGTCAAGAGCTGAAGAGTAGAGTTCACTAGGCAAGGAGAAGAAACAGTCTGGGCAAAGACTTTGTGGCAGGAGAGAGCATGGAAAATTCCAGAAACTGAGGGCCAAGGTTAGGAGTACAAAAAGAAGGGAAAGTATACAAAGGCCACATCCAACAGGATCTCTAAGATTAATGGGAAGCTATTGAAAGGATTTAAGTGAGGGAGGAATATAATCTACATTTAAAACAATTATTCCACAAGTGTCTATTGAGTACCCATGATGTGCTAGGCACCATGCAGGCCTGTTGCTCTTCATATAGTACTTGCCAGAAATGAGTTGTTATGTAGCCCAGCTTTGGACCTGGAGAATACTGAAATTGCGATGCCCTTTTAGTGGGCAGAATTTCCACCAGCATGTCTTGATATTCGTTTTGCCTGAAAGGAGAGATTGCCTTGGGTAATTCACAGTCATTTCAGCGTAAAGGATAATTGGTTGGTCAGCAGTTAGGGACATGGAAAGAACAGTATTGGAGAACTGATGACAAGGAAGACTCTGGAAGTGTCCATGGAGATGGACTTCTTAGAATGAATCTCTAGAGTTATATGGATAAAATGAACTGCTTTGTGGATAAAACTCAGACTCTTTTTCCAGGCGTAGTTCTTTCTCAGTAGAATCATGAATGAAATGGCAATGGCAGCAGGATTGGAGCCAAACCTAGCTGATTAGGTTCATCAGCAATGACCAATTCTGAGTTGTTGATAGGCCTTGTGCTTCAGGAGGATCAACCAGTCACATGTGGAAAAGTCTATTCCATTGGCCCTCCCCCACCACTGAGGGTGTTTTTATTTGTCCTCCCTGAAATACACTTATTCTAGATTTGAATTTGCTTTCCCTGGTCTCTATACTTCTGCCAGCAGTAACATCTAGATATTACTAATGCTTTACATGCTATCATGGCACCTAATGCCATGTTGCTTCTGATCAAGAAACTCAGTTTACAATGAAAGAAGTAATGTGTTGGGCTGTTGACCCTGGAATGATTGGTGTAATTATTTACACCAGACGCACCTTGTCTTATTGAAGCTATACTGAAAGCATAGTTATGATGCCATCTGAGAGATCATTCTTTTTGATATGGTTCTATAAGATGCAGTGTACACTCTGGACCAGTGTCCAATATTTGGCATTCTTTTCTCCTATTCCTTTTACTTTTTGCTGTATAACCACCCTTAAAACATAGCAGTTTAAATCAATTACAACATTTACTTTTCTTACAAATTTGTGATTTGTGCAGGGTTTGGTAGGAACAGCTTGTTTCTGTTCTATTTTCAACTTCACATCAACTCAGGCCAGCTAAAAATTTGGAGGTTGGAATCATCTGAATCACCCTTACATGGCTGGTGACTGATACTGGTAATGGCCTAGTCCTTAGCTGAATCTGTGGCCAGAATATTTACTCGTGGTCTTTCCAGAGGACTGTTTGGTTTTTCACAAATAGTAGCTGGGTTCCAAGGATGGGCATCTCAAGAGAGAAAAATCTGTTTGGAGGCTGTAATGCCTTTTCTAAACTAACAGTGAAAGTCATGCAATGTCACTTTAGACTGTATTCAATTCATTAGAACTTAGTCTCTAAAACTGTCAGTATCTAAGGAGAGGAAATTAGATGACTATTTTTTTAAAAATGGGAGAATGACAAAAATTGTGGATGTATTTTTTATTTTTAGTTAGCACACAATAATTGTACATGTTATGGGGTATGGTGTGAAATTTTGATACCTGTACACAACGTTTAATGATCAAATCAGGGTAATTTGCATATCCATCACCTCAAACATCATCTATTTGTGTTGGGAACATTCAATATTGACTCTTCTAGTTATTTGAAAATACAGAACAAATTATTGTCAACTAGAGTCTCTCTATAGGGCTACAGAACGAAACTTATTTCACCTAAATAGCTGTAATTTTATATCCATTAATCAACCTCCTCCTATCCTCCCATCTCCTGTACCCTTCCCAGCCTCTAGTTACCACTATTCTATATCTACTTCTATGGGATCAACTTATTTAGCTTTCACTTACTAGTGAGCACTAGCAGTGTTTGTCTGTGTCTAGCTTATTTCACTTAACATAGTGTCCTTCAGGTTCATCCATGTTGCTGCAAGTGACAGGATTTCCTTCTTTTTTTATGACCAAATAATATTTCATTGTGTATATATTCATCACACTTTCTCTATCAATTCCTCTACTGATGGACACTGAGGTTAATTCCATATCTTGCTGCAGATAGTTCTTTGATATACTGATTTCCTTTTCTTTGTACATATTCTCAGTGTGGGTTTGCTGGGTCATATGGCAGTTCTATTTTTAGTTTTTTGGAGAATCTGCATACTGTTTTCCAAAATGGTTATATGAATCTACATCTTCATCAACAGTATGTAAGGGTTCTCTTTTTTCTGCATCCTCACCAAAAAGAAATTCTTCCAGCTAGGGCTATACAATGGTTCCATTTATTTGGAGTTGAGAAGACTTTGTGTATCTTCTCTCATTGCATAAACAAGAGAAGAAGAAGGAAGTAAAGGAGAAGACAATTATGGTATGATCTGAAGTGATTAACCCTGATCATCAAGCAGAAATGAGTTTGCTGGTATACCTCTAAACAGATAGCTCTACCAAACATTCAGATCCCTTAGAAGTAAAAATATTAGCTGAAATTAAAGGGAACCTAGAATAGCTGGCAGAGAGAGGAAATCATAAATGTAGATGAAGAGTTCATAATCAGGGGAAGAAATAAGAGCTGTTACCTTTACTTGTAGTTTCTTACTTGATGTGTCATGCATTTTTCATGTCTTATTTTTTTCTTTAACCTTTACTTCACTATTTTATATAGATTGTGATATTGTTGGTAAACTTCACTATTTAGTTTATAAGTTGAAGATTGGATATGAGATCTGGGCAGAACTAGAGGAGGAATGGCCATTAACTAGAGGTTTTAGTCTTGGAGATGGATGGGTGGATGGATTTGGTAACTAATGCAACATTGGGTTGACTTCCTTGGAAGGTGACAGGGTGAGTGCATGTTTGCTTGTGTGAAGTATTCTTGCGATATTAAAGTAGAAACTTTTTTGTAGCATAAACATTGAAAGCAATGGTTATATTGGTGTTGGGCAGCCATAGAGATGACTTTGTATTTGACGTTTTCATGGTTTAATCTGCTATCATTTAAGTCCTCTTTCTTCTACATTTGGGGCAATCTCCATTGCGTGCATCTTGGTACTGCTTTCACTAAAGAAAATGAGGACAGTTACTCACTTTTTCCGGCTTCCTTACGGTGAGAGTATGTGCATGTGACCTTACTTGACTAATCAAATAGGATCTTGACTGCAACCTCATGAGGGATTCTGAGCTAGAATCATTTAGCTAAACTGCTCCTAAATTCCAGATCCACAGAAACTATGTAAGATAATAAACATATGTTGTTTTAGGTCACTAAGTTGTGGAATAATTTGGTATGCAGCAATAGATAACTAATACACCTTCCCTTCCACACAGGGCAGGGAAATGTCACAGCACCTTCTCAACTTTCTCAAAGATAGTCTTACCAACACCCTCTTCAATCTTC